TACGTGCGTGTGCACGACAACGATGCGTGGCGTGTGTGCGTGTGCGCACGTAACACGTGGCGTGCGTGTGTGCGTGGTTGTCACGTACACGTGTTGTGCATGGGAGCGTTGGTGGGCGTAGCGTGCGTGTGTGTACAGGTAACGTGCGTGGCGTGTATGCATGTGCCCGTAGACGTGCCGCTGCGTGCGTGCGTGCGTGCGTGTGCACGTACACCTGCGTGCATGCAATGCGTGCGTGCGTGTTTATGTAAACGTGCGTGCATACGTCGTGTGTGCATGCGTGCATGCGTGTCGTGCGTGTGTGCGTGCGTGCGTTCGTGTGTAGCGCTACACGTGCGTGCATGCGTGCGTGTGCACGTACACGTGCGGTGCATGCGTGCCTGTGTGCGTGACGGTGCGTGCGTGCGTGCGTGCGTGCGTGCGTGTGTGTCGTGTGCACTTTACACGTGCGTGCGTGCGTGGCGTGCGTTGCGTGGCGTGCGTGGCGTGGCGTGCCTGCCTGCGCACGTACACGGTGCGTGCAATGCGTGCGTGCGTGCGTGTGCACGTACGACGTGCGTGCATGAGTGTTGCGTGCGTGTGCAATCGACTTCTTCCTACTTAGGAAATATGATCTGGCAGAAAGGGATCCATCTTCACCACTGACGCATGACCAATGACACGTGTGACGTTTTCCAGCCTACGCCTAATTTGACGTGGCGCCTCGCTAAGCGTTGGCCGGCTTTCGTTGGCCGCCGTGAAAAAAAAATCCGCCTTGCTGTCGCTAGCCGCGTTTTCCCGGTAAGGTACGCACAAACCTTACTCTGATTCGGAGCGATCGGAAGTTCTTAGCATCGGGGCAAAAACACACCGCAGATGGAGCAGTACGACTTGACATTACTGATAGACTCATGTTTATTCTCATTCCATGCTTACACTTCTCCGCACGGAGATGACGGTGACACTGTCCGCGTGTTACGCGACACGAGTTCTCCCGACTAGCGATATCTAGACTCCCCCGAGCTAAGCGTAGCTCGCTCCCCGAGCTAGCGGTTCTCTACTCACACTCTCTCTCTACTCCTAATATACCCGCTCTCTCGCGTGGCCGCACGGCCAGCCTGTTTATTCTGCGCGTTCCCGGCGCGCGCGAGAACACACCCGGCGTACATTCCCGCCCGGTCGTCCAGATCACGTCAGGTCTGATGGAACTAGCGTATCGCGCCACACTCCCCCCAACATAAAGACTCCCGAAACTCTCCTGAGTCC